CCAGCATGGGACCCGCAGGCTTTCTGGCACAGACGTGCTGATCCCTCTTGTTCCTTGGCCACTCTTCTTCTCTAACTGTCCTTCTGCATTTAAAATAACAGGGGTGAGACATGGCTGGTCCTGCTGATGGGTTGGTCTCCAGCTGTTGCCCAGTGGCTCCCAGCCACAGGGATGCTGTAGGAAGGGCTGTCTCACAGCTTCCTCAGCCACTGCTTAAATCTGTCCTGCCTCAGGTGACTTTTTTTTTTAATTTGTTTGTTATGATACAGCAGTCTCTATCTGGGAAAGCCAGATCCCATCACTTGAGTGCAAGCTGGGTCCCATCCCTTTGGAGCTTCCATGCCTGAAGGAGTGTGCTGGAGTGGTTTCTCCTCTTTCGTCCCCTTACCCCCCCTGCTCCTTTTTTTCCTCCTGTTTTAATCTCATTTTATGAACTCTGGGACAAACCTGAAAATCAGATGTGACAGCATGGAGAAAAATGAGCCCCATGACCCTGAAGCCGGGTCTGCCACTGCTGCCAGACCCCCGGGGCGATGCTTTAATGCAGGGTGCAGGGGCTGCTGGCAAGTTTGCTCTTTTATGGAAGCTTGTTTTCCCTGTTGGAGCTGATGGTCTGTGCTGTGGCCGGCATCAGCCTTCCTCCAGCGCCAGGCCTGGGCCAGGAGTTCGGAAGCGATTAAGTCTGCTCAGGGCTAATTTTGACACATGGGGTTGCAGCAGATTTAAAGGCAGCTCTGTGCTGGGTGTGATAAAGGAGGGGTGTGTGCTTCCTTGCAGATCAAAACTCTGTATTTGTGGGCTTTGCTGCTTTACACCAGCACGGGATCTGGCCTCCCAAAAGGCAGCAGCTGTGTTAGTCCTCAGGACCAGCGGCACGAGCTGTTTGCAATGAGGACTCTCTGAGCAGGTGCTGCTGCTGGCAGCAGAGTGGAGGAAAAGCTTTTGTTATCTTGCGTGATCTTTTTATTAGATAACTCCAGCAGCATACTTTTGAATCGAGCCATTTCATTTTAATAAATGAAACCCGAGAAGCAGACACTGAGAGCTGCTAGTTGGGGCCAGATCCCCCAGGCATCAGTGTCCCGGGATAGCAAGATCAGCCCATCTCTCCGGGTGGCTGTGTTCAAGTGTAAAGCAAACCACGTATATAAGCTGTATATCCATGCATAAAGCTGAATTTTGAGTCAGGGTTGGATTCTGAATTGATGTTTGTGTGTAAAGGGTCTGATTTTTCCACTGTGTGAGGATGTGGGGACCTCAGATGGCTCCTTCGGCACTGGTGGTGGCCAGGATGGCTGGGGATCGGGGCTCCCGCAGTGGAGGGGATGATGCGAGATTGCTGAGTTTTGGGGACTTTGGCCAGCAAATAACAAATATGTTGGCACAGCGTGAGAAAGACATAAAAATACATATGTCAGAACAGGGCAGGCTTTTAAGTGTTTTTCATTTAAACTGAAAAGGTCAGATTGAATAGGGTTGTCATCTGGGGACCTGTGTGTGCACCTGCCAATCATATGGGGGGGACCCGTGTCAGTTCATGCTGATGGCTGAGTTGCTGGGAGCTTGTCTGCGCTTAAAAATTGATGACTGGAACGGTTAAAACGACAATTTTCCTTGTGGCGGTCAGGCTTAGCCATCTGCTGCATGTAGGAACGGGAATGAAGGATCCCAGCACGAGGCTGCTTTATCCCAGTTTAACTGGTGTTCATGCTTGTGCTTCTACAAGTATAGCCATGCTGATGTAAAAAAAAATAAAAATAATAAGCTCTGAATATTGGTAACACTTTCAAGTGTAAAGGAGACTTAGAAGTGAATGCAACCTCTGAACAGTCAGAAAAACAGATGCCATTCAGCCAGGCTATGTGAGAAGTGTAATTAGCACTTGCTGAAATTATTTTCACGGGTAAGATTTTCTTTTAAAGGGATTGGGGAGTCTGGGTACTTCAATTTCTAAGTGACCACTGTAAAGTTATGCTAGGGTCACCTGTTTTTCTGAAAGTGCTGACTGCACTTCTCTGAAACTTGGTTTTCTTGCAAAGGTTTTAAACTCCGTTTCTGAAAAATATGAACAATGTAAAAAAAAACCGTAACAGAGGATTGATGTTTAAATTCAGGCATTATAAATGACTACTTTTAGATTTAAATCTGCAAACAGGAAACCTTGCTTTCTGTACTCGTGTGTTAAATTTATGTTTATCTTTTTTTTTTCTTGAGAAATGTTGATTTTTACTGTTGATAATACAGCATAGGTATTGTCAGCCAGTGAGTGAATGGACTATTTCTGATCATCGTGCCTAAAGATTTTAGAGTTCGTACACCTCAGCCTCTCACCTTATTTTCCTTTCAGTTAGGGATGACACTTTTAACTTCTAATCACATTTTTGGCCTTTTATGAACTGTACCTTGAATTTAACTAGTTGGAAAAAACAAATGAAGAAACTCTTTTGCATAAGATGTGCTCTTTTGGTAAATTCCGGTTCCAGTAGTTTGTTCACAGACTCTACTTAAGGCTTTGACTGTGATGGCTGATTCCTGCTATTTGGGCATTTTTTAAAAATTACTATTAAATGATAAATTGCCTATTGAAATGATGGATTAAAATAAGTGGTCTGTATGGTGCTAAGCATGAAAATGAAGATGCAGATGGGCACGGGTAGGTGTACACAGACTCCAAAGCCTCGGCCTCTGTAGCTGGTGCTCTGGAGGCACAACGACTCGTACTGCGTTACGCCAGATGGGAGCTCAACAGTGTAAAGCTATTTTACCAAAGAGACTTTCCTGCTGTTATCTCCTGCAGGACTGTGATAGAAAGCTGGGATTTCTTGTTGCAAGATGAAAATCAGAATTAGCTGGGCACAGATCACCGAGCATCTGTTGCCGTGCCTCTGAACTAGGAGGACCTCGGTTTTGTAGAGCTAAAAGCCTGCCTTGTTGTTACTATTTCTGTTGTAAAAGCACTTGGATATTCCCCATAAAGGTTGTTGGGGGGATGTATGAAACCCAGAGGTGGCTCCTTAGGGTCAGTCTTTGCATGTATTTCTTTGGGGGCTTCAGTGGGGGAAGGACCTGTGCTGGACTCAGTGGCAGCGATGTGGGTATGTCTGTCCTGTGCACTCATTTGACCTGCCCTACCTGCGCCAAAGCAGGAACGAGTGAGGGGCAGACCTTTCTTCTGGCTTTCTTGTTGTCTCAAGATCTGTATCTCCTGCCTTCTTCCCCAGTGTGGTTAGGGCATGGCTGTACTAAGCCTCTGTGAAGTCCTCTCAGGGGTGCTCCTTGCTGAGGGATATTTACACGCAACTGAGAAGAGGGACTTTGGGGAGACAAGTTCTGCTGATCTTGGGGTTTTGGGCCCTCGAGTCTCAAGAAGAGCTTCCCACCAAGAAATGCTTGTTGAGATCATGTCTTGAAGAGGTCTGATGTGGTGGTGGCATCATGACTTGGTGGCTTGTGATGCAGATCTGCTGCTCTTCTGTCACCACAGGTCTGTCCTCTGTGTCTGTCTTCTGGATATTTCTGCACTCAAAGACCCTGCTGACTTTTGCAGCCTTCTGCTAAAGAAACAGGGACACAAATGGAGTAGTTTGACAGACTGGCTTAGGTGGATAGATGCTGGACCGGTCAGGCTGTCCCTGTCCTGCCCAGCTGTGGACATGTGGCCAGGAGGGAATCTGTGCCTAAACATCAGTGGGCTGTTGCTTCTCTGGGACCACACAGCATGTCTTGCTGCTGAGAAAGATGGTTTCACAGCAGGCTTCAGCTGGATGTCTTGGGGAGGGCACTTGGGGTCCTGCTCACCTTGCTGCAGGAACCCCAGTCACAAGGTGATGGGGACAACCAGTGTGGAAAGAGAAGTCAGGTAGATGCGGTCCACCTGGCCAAGTCTGCGGAGTCCTATAGCTGATCTTGTAAACATTTCTGGAGTTAAACTTGGTGAAAACCAAGCCCGAGCCAAGAACGTTTAAACACAGGTTGGGTCCCAAGAAATACTGTCTTACCTGGAGCTCCCGGAGGTGCTGTTGTGGGTTGAATAGAAATAGTGTTGGAACCAGAGGGGAATGTTGTTGTCTTCTGCCTTTACAGATAAGACCAAAGGGCGTTTTGCCAGGAGCCTGTGGGAAGGACCTAGGTTGTATATAACTCTACATCATTTTAAAATGAAAAGTAAACATGCACAACCATAATATTTGCTTGTACTTGTCTCCTCCTTGATGGATGGAGAGAAATTGCTCCTTGGCTGAGTTCACCAGCAATAAAACCCTGCAGTTACTCATCTTCATCCCAAGCCTTCAGTAAGTGGGAAGAAGCCATTGCAATCTCTGGTTAAATTTGTCCTCATCACACATAAGAGCATTGAGGGTCCTGGGGACATTTATACCTGCCCAAGCCTGTGGGGAATCAGGGCTGGGTGCCACCACAGGGACCATGGGAGTGGAATTGGAAGGTGCTGTCTGGGTCTCATCATGTTCTTGTGGTGTTGGTGCAATGGACATCTACCACCTCCTGGGAGAGAGGAGAGCCCTGTCTCTCTCCTGGCTACTGTAGCATCAGGCAAGGCGTGGGGGACACAGGGTGCTGGCAGAGGTAGGAAGCTGTCCCACTGGGCAACAGGGAGGAGGAACCTGGACAGTGAGCCACCAGAACTCTCTTGCTTCATGTTGGTTGTAGGCTTCTGGGCTCACATGTGCCCTTGTGAGCAGCACAGGTACAGCAAATGCAAACCTGAACTGAGCATTTACATTGTTACAGCAGCAAATAGCAGTAACTTTCTCTGCCGAGCAGCCCTTGTCATGAGTGGAGATAGGGCCATCAGGGCGACCAGGATGTGGCCGAGACGGGATGCCAGTCACGGGCTGGTGGGGGCAGGAAGGAGTGTGTGATTCAGATGCTGCCTATCTCTGTGGGATGCACCCGGCTGTGTGTCCTGGCAATGTCACGTGCAAGACCACAGTCATATGGCCTGGCTGTCCCCTCTGCTCTGCCTTCATCTTCTGCAGAGGGGAAAACCGGCACCAAGTCCAACAATTCAAGAAGGGGTCGTGTCTGCTTTGCAGCTACAGGAGAGAGTGAGGCAGTCCCTGACGGCAATTGGGCAGAGCTCCTCAGAGAAAAGGCTGTGCTGAGGTGGGGGACATGGTGATCAGGATGGTGGTGTAGCTTGTGGTAGTGGCAAACCCCATGAGCTTCAAACTGAATTAAATGATGCTTCCTAGCTCCCTCGCTGTGCCTGAGATCCCAGAGATGAGTGATGGATTAACCCTATTTTCTTATTTTTTGCCTTATTTTACATCTTTTTTTACCTCCCCCTTCTCAGGGGCATTAAGTGCAGTAAAGGAGCCATGGCTTGACGAGGTGCAAGTTGTTGACCAAGCTGTTGGCAGCTGACAGCCAGTGCTGGTCGTTGGCCCAGTTCGATGTGGTGATGCTTACTTTTAGGGGGTGCCGGAAGGAGTCCAGGAATATGGAGGCTTCTGCCTAAGAAAGCTGGGGAGGAAAATGCTGTGTTTCCCAGAAGCTGTGTGGGTTAAACTGCAAGTTTTGGAGATGAGCTGTTGGGAGGCCCATCCGGCGTGTATCACATGGATATCTCTCTCTTTACAGGGCTGGGAAAGAAACCCAAAGTCGTGACTCCGGCGGAGCCCTGCGTGTCTCCAAAAGCCCTACTCTGAGTTCGTCCCACCAGCAAGGTTGTGCAGTGTGAGAACCGGTACGTAAACACATTTCACAGGTACAAGGGGCAACTTCTGAAAAGGATCTGTGGCTTTGCCGACAGTGGCGCCTTGTTTGTAGCTCTCTGCAAAAAAAAAAAAGTTTTCTCCTAATGGAGAGTGGAGGGAGAGCTGGGATCACTGGAAAATACGAGACAAACTGGTGGTTCTCTGGAGGTGCTTGTACCCAGAGGTTTTGGTGTGGAAGGACTCAGCAGTGAAAAGCTGTGAGCGTTCAGAAGTCATCCCAGACTATGGCACAAGGGCTTTTAGAAGGGCTTCATCGAGCAGTGTGATGTGTGACAGCACACACAGATAGGTGATGTGGGGGATAGTGTCACATGCACACACGAGAAATGCACATACATACGTATATACACACACGCTGTACAAATCTAGGCACATGGAAACAAAGATGCACATAGTGTATATTACATGGTGGCGTATGAGAGCTTGGGGGTGTATATACCAAATGTCTGTGTATACTATATATGGTGATAAAAGAATGCATATGCATTCATGTTCTCTCTTTTTCTTTTCTTTTTCTGTCTCTTCTGACTCTCTGTGGAGCTGTTGCAAAACTACCAGATTCAACCTCCTGGGGAGCCTTTCTAGCCAAGGTTTTACAAGCCAGCACCTGCTTTGCCTGCCTGACTTCTTTCTATATTTATTCCTCTGCACCCGGTTTTTGCCTTTGCCTGCAAAGTGGAACTGTCACAAACATTTGTGCTAACTTTTGGCTGCACAGGACTTCAGCTTGCAAGTCCTAAGTCTGCTTTTGCGCATGTTGAGGGAGGAAGCGTATGTGTGCGTGTGAGCATCCCCTGTCCTTGCTGTCTGCATTACGTGGTCCGTGTTCCTGTGATGCAGTCCCTGTGTTACGTGTGCCACGCAAATTGTGCTCTCTGCCCCTTTTCAAGGCATTTTTATGAATCAAATAGTCCTGCTCATGTAATGTCATTCAAATGAAATTAGCCACGCCTGACCTGGTGGCTGATTGATAACGGTCTGTACTGCTCTGCAGGAGCCTTGAGCTGGATTTTATTCCCAGGCCTCCAAGCTTTACTTTCCAGGGTTAGGGCCGTGGCAAGGAGGGGGACTTGTGATGCCACGTAGCAGGGAGCTCCTGATTAGGCTGTGATTGGACATGGATGTGTCTGTCCCTCTAGTCATTTGGAGTGGAAGGTGCTCTAAAGCAGAATGGTCATGCTTAGGTACCACTGTTTGAAGTGAGCACAGTAGCGAGGGAGAGTCTATAATGCCATTTCAGCTGGGAAACTGAGGGGAGATTCTAATGCTGTCCTGGGGAGCTTGAAGCTGGGGGAATAAAGGCATTGTGGGTCTCCTGTCAGCAAATGCTGCTTGGAGGAGACACATGCTTGTTCCCGGTCCGATGGGTACAACTCGCGCTTATTGAAAAGCAGGGCTGGGCTGCCTGCCAGGAGCCGGGGAAATGGCTTGTCCTCGTGTGCTCAGGCCCCTGAGCCCCTCTAACAGCTATATTTGTTTCTGGCACGAGAGTCCCTCTAAGGTCACGCAGACCGTAGTCCTAGGTTTCAGTCCCGGGAGCTGTAAGACGTACCCTGCCTGACCCCCGTGCAAAGGCAGAGGCCACCCGAGCAGCCCGCGTCCCCCCAGGTTTGGTTTCCCTGTCCCCAGTGCCTGTGTCACTGCAGCCTGCATTCCTCTCCGCTTCGGTAAGCCCTTCGCCTCTCGAGCTGACACAGCTAATATTTCCCCGGCTGGCAGGGCAGGCGAGGTAGTGGCATTTAACTGTTAAGGAGAACCTCAATCTGTTTGTGCCGTGGGACCCCAGAGCAGTAAGGGCTGGTGCACGCCCAGGATGGGGTTTCTGCTACTCCAGGTGTTCCCCCTCCACGCTTTTTTTCCCTTCCTTGATTTATATTATTCCCTACTTCATCCTGCTGTTTGTCCTTGCAAAAAGCAATACCTTGGGAATTGTTTTCTGCAAGGGGCTGGAAAACTGAGAGTTTGTAAAACCTGCACCTATCTGCCACTTCTTACCATGGTGTTGGAGCATCTTCTACCGTGGTGACTCCAGCACTCAGAATATCTCCCACTTCTGGCCATGGAGAGTGCTCCTGGTGGCCTGGCTGCCAGCTGGGATGCATGGCTCTGGGGGAAGTTTTAGTGGGCTTTTAGAAAAAATACATGATCAGCTGCCCACCAAGAGCTAGTCCCAGCTTGCATTGCATTGACGTTGTCCTGGTGTACCACTTAGTGACACCTGGACTGTTGGCTCTTTCAAGCTGCCTTTATACCCACCAGTGTAATGGGCACCTGCTGGTGCTGCCTGGCAAGGTTTATTTTTTGTAGTGGTAGGGGCAGATCACGAAGTTAGATGTTGTTCTTCTTTGAAAAGGCAGAAAGCTTTGCTTTCTTTGAAAGCAAAGGTTTACGTGTTTTGTGTCACCTGTGATATTGGGTGCTAAACTCATGCTGCCACGGGCCCCCGACCTCTGCCTAGGTACTAGAGGTAATTGCTCAGCCGCTGGCACTGCAGGATTTCGGCTCCTCCCGAAGCCTGAGCCTCAGTCCCAGGGAAAGCCAGATGTACTATAATGTCACTTTTTTTTCAGTTTGTTTTGGCCATACATGGGCAGAGTCAGCTCTGGAATTCCTTCCCTATAAATTCAATAGCATCTTGTGGGTGGTGCTGAGGAATCACTCGGGTCTGGTTGGATGGCCTCAGCAACCTCTTCCCCTTGAAAACGTCCTGATGTGCACATTCCTGAGAGGCTGCCTGCTCCTGGAGCCCATGGCAGCAGCTACCAGGAGGCTGTCATCCAGTGCTGGCAGGAACAGTCACCTCCCTGCTGCCCGCAGGTCGGCTCCTGCAGCGGAGGGAGCAATGCCCGGGGGGAAGGGGGGCATGGGTATATGGCTCCCCTCTGCAGGGCCAGTTGTGCCCACTAAGCATAACCGTTCTGCCTCCTAAATTTGCTCCAAGGGCTTCAGCACTAACCCTCAAGGCCCTCTCCTAGGGATGGGGGAGGCTGAGTGCTTCCCTGTTCACGCCTGCCCCAGGATGCTGCATTATTTATCTCAGCAGGGATCGAGGGGTGCTGCCATCCTGGGGGTCCTTGGCCCTGCAGGGACATCTTGCCTTGTCCGAGTGGCATGTTGCTTTCTGCAGAGCCATGGTCATGTGTTTTTTCTTGTAAAGCAAAATCAAATACACGGTTTTTGCAAAGCACCAGCTGGATGAGCCAGGGCAGGGGAGATTTCCCTGCCCCAGGTGAGCAGATGATGTGGAGCCCGGCAGCAGGACCTCTTTACTGGGACTGATGGCTGAGCTCTGTTGAGCTAGTGTCACTATAAACAGCCTGAATTTGCCTATTTGCCTTAAAAAGATTAGTCCAAAAAGTAGTTCTAGGAGGCTTTCTGCTGATGAGTTGAGGGACAAGAGGGAGGTTTGCTGTAGGGGATGAGGGGCGATGGCTCCTGGAGCTGCCCCCATTGCATCTCCCGTGCATCCCTGGGAGGGGACAGAGATGCAGTGTCAGACATTGAGCCAGGAGCCTCCAAAGTGCAGGTCAAGACGGCGACGCATGGCCCCGGGCTGCGTGTAGGTCAGCAACAGCGATGTGCTCAGCTCAGGCTTCAGAGGGGCAAGTCATCCCTGTGCCAAAGCCAGGGAGAGAAGGGTGATTTTTTTTTTGACATCCTTTGGAGTTTTGATCTCCATATTTGGAAATGTTTACCCATTGCTCTGATCTATTGCAAGGGAGGGGAGGTGACTCAGGGTCTGGTGGAAGCAGGATTTGAATTCCTGTAGTAAGGTTTTTTTTTCTTCCCCCCCCTTTCTTGTTTTGGAAGCCTGTTGTGGTCAGTTTTCAGTTCTCTCTTGCTCCTGGACCTTGTTCCAAATTTGATCTGCTCGAGAGGGAAGCGTGCTAGCGAAGGAGCTTGCCTGGATGCTGGTAAGTGCATCATTGCTGCTTTAGCAAGCAACTTGGGACTTTTTTATTTATTTTTTTTTATTTTGTTTAGTCAGATGGATTGCATCAAAGCGTGTGCGTTGCTGATGGAGGCAGGCATGTGGATCGCCAGTCAACAGCAAGGGACCCAATGAAACCTTCTGTAGCAGGGAAAGTTAGCTTAGTGGATTGGTCTCAAAGGCAAAATGTTTCTTCAGGCCTAGGTATAAAGATAATTTAAGCAGCTCCCGTTCAGTCACGCTCTTCCTTTTAGTTTCACTGGCTAATGCAGCAAGGCAGCAGAGCACTGTCGAGTTAAATGAGTATATATGTGTGTGGTCAGCAAGTAAAATACAGCTTAAGTATGATTTCTGTCTCCGAAGCAAGAGTGTGTGTTAAAAAGGCTGTACAACGTATGGGTATATTTCTCTCAAATGTTAATATTTAACTTGGTTTTATTAGGGACCTGAAGAAGTTTAGCTGCTGTAACTGGATGAAGGTTCAGCATCTGGTTTTTCCTGTTATTCTTTATTTTTACTTAGTGTGAAGTTTTTAATCTGCCTGATATTGCAGCTTGCAGCTGGCTGGTGCTTTTTTTTTTTTTTTTTTTTTTTTCCCCCCTTTTCCTTTCTCTTTCCTGAACGGAAACCACAGTTCATCCAGACAGCCAGGGGCATGGGGGGAACCTGGAAGATGCTCTGCTTCCTGTTTTATTCATGGCAGCTAAAACCATGTTGGGGAATCTGGAACAGAAATCCACCGTCCCGCATTCCTCTTGTCATTTGGAGCATGTAACACGTATAGAGTGCTTTTAACGCTGCGCCGGGGGTTGTGTAGCATCCAGTCCTGTGCCTCTGTCAGAAAACCCTGCACTTTGTCTTTTTACTTGGGAAGGGGCATTGGTGAAAATCCCTTTATAGTTTCTACTGCTGGTTAGTGATGCTTGTGTCTTCTTGGCTAACTGGTATTTTTAGGCTGATTCAAACCTGCTGTTATCCTTGTCTCCCTGTCTTAAATTTAAGACCTTTGCTAGAGAGTTAAATCTCTTGTTGGTTTTC